CTTCATTACACTAAGCACATCGTAGATCTGAATTTAAGTGCTATTTACAGATTTGAGTTGATACAGTTTCTAACAGTGTAGAATACTTAAATAACCTGTTTTCCTGAAAGAACAGTAAGTTATGTCGTAGATGATTATTATCAAACATGTTTTGTCTTGCATGCAGCATTGCTCTTTTACTTCACAATCCCATGTATGGAAGATAAAGGTGCCTTTTTCAGCCAGAGCCTCCTTTCCTTTTCTATCAGGAATACTTTTCACTCTACTGTGAATACTATTTTCAGGATTGCAGTGCCAATCTAGCAAACCTTTGCTTAAAAAACAGGGCTAGTTTGAAAACTCTAATATGAATCAGACAGTAAGATAGCTTGCTAAAAGCGCTCTTGTTCTGTGGTTGATTTTAAATGCTCGTAAAGAGACACTGGGTCACCTGGTCCTGCAAGTTTTTTATTTATTTCAGTGAACATTATAGCAGCTGTTTGACTATGCAGTGGTGTTGGCAGGAGCAGTGCTTGAGTGCACCTTTCCCAGTGCTCCACACTTGGATGGTTCTTGACCATTCACAGAGCTGCCTACAGTTGCTTAATTAGAAACAGATGTCCTAAATGAAAAGGATGATTAGAGCCATGTTAATGGTTCAACTGCTGATTATCATTTTCTGGCCTTATTTATTGAAGTTCAGTAGGATTTTTTTTGCATGCATAAACAAAGCAAACTTCTAAATTGTCACTAATACACTAGTGATTACACAGTGTGATAAAATGATATGTTATTTTGCCTTGGAAGATGTCAGTTCCTTATATTAACCATTTTCCTGGAAGGTACTTCAGTAAAGGATTTTAAAGTTTTTCTGTGTATTTGTATGTGTGTGTGTAGTTGTGTATGTGCATGCACTTGAATATGTTTGCAGGAAAATTCTAAAACAGATGCATCTGTGCTTGTGGATGACCTGTTTCAGGTCTGCTGAATATTCTAAGGTTTTCAAAAAGCTTCTTTCTTTTTTTTTTTTTTTAAATATTTGCATGACCTGCAGAAAAGGTGCCTCTTGTGAAATACTGACAGACTTCTCTCATTTTCTATATACAAGAATGGGTGAAAACTATCCCAGAAAATCCCTGCTTCTGCTTAATATCTGTGAATATAATTGCTTGAAATTTCTTTAGTATTTGTCATTTTGTTAGTAGTACTTCTTACTCATTGCTTTATTGACATTAACTTAAGAAAACAGCTTTTTTTGTTAAAGTTTCTATCATCTTAGAAAGCACGGCAGAAACATAACTTATAATCAGCATCTGGACAAACTATTTTCAACTGTCGTGTATTTTGATTTCTGGAGGTTGTGTCTTTTCCCATTTCCCCTCTTTCCTTCAGTACATACCTGAAGAGTTCACAAATATATCTTTGCGCTGCTATTCATCAGATCAACATTTCCATTTTCTTCTTTTCTGAAACTTCAGTTCTGCCTACTGCCTTAGAGAGCACTTTTCTCTCTCAACACTTCCATCTACTGCAGGACTCTCTGATCATGTTTACTTTCTCTCATTGACTGGCTTTCTATCGCCCTTCGTTCACCCACATAATTCTATTGAAATTGTTCATCTTTAAGGCTTTACTGACCTCCTGGTAAGAAAGAGTACTTTATGCAGCTATATAGTTATATATATAAAACTATATTAACAGTTACAGTTTGTGTCAGAAGTATGTTTTTGAAGGGAATCTTTCCTAAACCCTGCTCAGTGCATTTTGGTTCACTTTGTGGAGCAGTTGAGGAGCAATCCTGACAGGTAATGTTTGTTCTGTCCAGAGGACCAGACTAGAATTAGCTGCTAAAAGTTGCTGGGAGTATATAGTGCAAATGTCATGCCTTCATTGCTAGCTCTCAGCTTACACATGTATTTCAGCTGGTGCACACTGCTTCCTAATGCAGATGTGGCCTCTGCTGCCTTGACGTGTTTGCTTCCCTGGGCTTTGTTGCTGGTTCCCTCACTCTTTCAGTCTTATCTATTTCCATATCTGAAATACAGCTCACCCACAACCTCAACCCAGGCTCACCCAGTTTCAGCCTACATCCAGCCTTCCTTGTATCCAAGATTTCCAGCTGGGTGCTCTCATATGGTCTTTCAGCTGTGACAGAAACTGATCCTGTCTCCACTTTGACTGTCACAGCTTGCTGTGTTGTGTTACTGCCAGGATACTTCCTCAGTGAAGTAAGTAGCTGTTAATGGTGTTCCCGTTCTGTGTAGAGACTGAATGCCATTCTTCCCTTTTGAAACTCTCCACACCACTGCACCTGTCCAGATACACTCTAGAATAACCTAATTTCTTTTGAAAGCCACTTTTCACTGAGAGCACCACCTGACCATTTCATCAGCTGCTTTCTGCAACTGTTCAGATATTCTGTCGTGTGTGTGTAGTAGTGTCACAGCTGAAGTGTAGAGGGATCTCTTTGTTTCAGAAAATTCTGAGGAATCCAGTACAAAGGGCTTCCTTCAGAGTTCCTTCTTCAATTATATGTTGCTTCAGTGGTTCAGGAAGTACTGCGTATTATTGCTTAGGACCTTGTCCACGTGGAAAATGCCATCTTCTTTCAGTGTGCTTTTTGTGCGTGCTAAACAATGATGGACGTCAGGTTTTTTTGTCAATATCAGCTTGACTTATTAAAGTGTTTGTATAACTATGTTGAGGAATATCCATACGTACATACATGCATGTATGTTAAAATGGTATTTCTAGCAACTTCACTCATAACGTAATTTCAAAATTTGTACCTGTCCTTAAGAACTAACAAGTCTCAGTATACTGTAATGTTATTTAGACATTTCTATACAGCACTTAATGTTATGGAAAAAACTTGCCTTTTGCAGCTGCTATAGTTGCAAACAAACGCTTCTGTGTTGAAGCTTGTTTTCCTTAAGAAGGTGGTAAAAGGTCAGCTGAGATACAGGAGAAATCCTTGGCGTTTCTGAGCTATATGTGCTTACAGGATTAGCTAGTACTACCTCCATTTTTGTTTGCCTGTTGAACAAGTAGCATTTTCTCTGTATCACCCAGCCTTACAGCTCTGAATCACAAGTTTTTTCCAGGTGACTCATTTCTGGCTACAAACTGTTTCTGCGGCTTCATTACATTCTGTTTGCTAATGCCATTTCATGTCTCTGGTTTGTACGTTTCTCTGAGGCAGGGCTCTTGTTCTGTTAAGCAAGCAGTGCTAAATTTATATGGTTGCTAGCAATATGTGTTCACTGTGCTGCAAGATGCAAAGTATGACCGTATCAAAGAACAAAACTTTACATTTCTTGGAACATCACCTTTATAACCAGTGCAGGCAATAAATATGCCTGCAGAATAGGAAGTGAACTCTGACATCTGGGGAGCAGCTATTCAATGACATTGTAAGTGTTGTCTGTTCCGCATGTATGCTTGTGAATACAAGCACATCAGTCTCTCACCCCTCCCCAGTGAACGCACACACACAGAACGGGCAGTCTCCATTGCCTAACTAGACTACTGAAACAAGACAGATGCTTCTTTAGTTTTGTTAATTGCATAAAAAGAATGCGCAGAAAATGCATAACACAGTAACCAAACCAGAAGAAAAATAAAGGGATCACCTGTTTCTGTGGATGTTTTAGCTGTCTATTTAGGATATGTTTCAAGCTGAGGTGTTTGGTTGGTTGTTTGCTTGGGTTTTTTTTAAGGGAGATGTGTTCCACCTCCCATTCTCACCTCACAAGAATGCTCGTGTGGGTGTGTGGAGAGAGGATGTTGAAGGTGTGTTAAGCCATTTGTTCAAATGGGCTTTACAGCAGCATCGAAGAATGAAAGGCAGTGGCAACTTTTAAAATAAAAAAATGTCAAAAGCAACAGAAAGCAAAAATGCCACACTTAGATTTTTTTATGGGATGTTTTATTATTACTCATTAGGATTCTTACTTTCAAAAAACCACTGAAGGAAAAAGGTCATTAATGTAAGAGATTTAAATCATTTTACTCAACTTTATTGGGAAAAAAAAAAACACCTTTTTGAAGTGCCTTAAAGCTTAGTTAATGCACTTTTAAAGAAAAAGTACTAACTTGAAATTACTGAATATTGGCCTTGTTGTAAACAGTTTTTATCTCCTGGCTATGCTGTCGATGGCCTTTGATGGTACTGGAAGACATGCTTTGCATACAAGAGGAATTTTATGGTATTCTTTAAGGAGACCCCAGTGTTAGAGGCTACCCAAGAGGGATCAGGCTTGTTGTGATGGAAGACCATATGGCTATTTGTCCTCACTCGGTCCTTCATGCATTCTTTTTTGATTATTTTTGACAGTAGAAAGTTTGATGCATTGTGCTTCAAGTATGTTGCTTCATTCTGTTCTTAGGATTTTGCTCCTGAAGCTACAGAGTTCTTTTTGTTTGGTTGTTGGTTTTTTTTTTTTTTTTCGTTATGGCATCTGGACTTAGTTACTGGATACTGCTTCACTAGTGCAAAGGAGGAAGTACGGGATTTGGAGTAATGCAAATGTACTGCTGTAGGAAAATCAAAACGTACATGAATTACTGTTTTAATCTTGTCTGCTGACTGTACACACTGTTCTGTAGACCAGATGATTCGTAGCTTTGCTGATATCTGTGCTGGATTTTGTGTTTTGATTTACATCTTAAAAGCTTAAAAAAGAATCTGAACTCATCCAGCAGAGTTGCAGTAGAAACATGGAAGAATCCAGACAGATAGAAGCTTTCTCATTGTAGCCTGTAGTTGAACAACTCCTGCACAAATCTATAAATTTTTTTTAAAAATATGTATTTCTCTAGGCTAACCAGTATATCGTTTATGTTACTGTTACTATTGTGCACTTGCATACATTTTTTTCCCTAATGCCACTCTTTTCCCAGCACACTTGAGCTCTGTGATCATTAATTATGACTTCTGTATAAACAAGTAACTTGAAGTTATTAATATCAATCTTACAATAATATTTTTATTTCTTTTCTGTCTTTTCCCACAAAACCAGATAATATACCTGAGAGAATCCCCAGAAGATATATACAGGCTTTTATTGGCTGGAAGTGTATCATATCTTCCTTTCAGGTAAATAACAAGTTGTTAGAACTTTCTGCACCTAGATAGTTTGAAGAAAAATGTAGCATTTGTCAGTACTGACTTAAGGGTTTTTTTTCCTGAAGTTTTAATACACGACACATTCACTGCCTGAGCCTGAAGTGCAGCTAGTAGTGAAGCGTACCGACACGGTGAAGGAACCATGCTGCTTTGTATGCATTCTGGTTGAGCTTTTTGTTCAACATTGCTTCTCACTTGGCACTCTGGTTTTGTGCCAGTAGTTGATAGTTTAAGGTATCAAAATATCTATCAGTCATAACAAATTATTTGTAATACTTTTAGCACTCATTTTTCCCACTTGTCGAATGTATGCAGCAACACCAAATACTGACATAAAGAATGCTTGCTAGCCTAATATGTTTCAGAGTAACTTTAAAGTATTTCTTTACACCAGCGGGGTAATGTGTAAAACCATTGATTCATGGTTGCTTGACCCCAAGGGAATGTAATCCTAGCTGTTTCAGACCACAGACTTCTCTTTGTGGTATGTGCTGCACTGGTTAATGTAGCAAGTAAAGTTG